GCTAGGGTCGGAAGGCAGGATTCTTACTCCACATGGCTGCCTGTCAGAGTCTGGGTGACTCAGCCAGTTTTTCAAGGTCTCAGTTTCCCTGTTTACCCAAGGCAATGATTCCCAAATTAGCCACCTAGGATTTACACGTAACAGTTTTATTGAGATGCAATTCATATACCATACAATTCACTCATTTACGCAAGTAAATGTGTACAATTCAATGGTTTTTCATCTGTTCACCCATTTTCAAACATTTTCACTGCTGTCTGGGGGTCTTTTGGAAAATTCCAAAGCACTGACAATACTGGGCATCAATTAAATCTTAGTCCCTGGCCTGGGGTGGGGGTAAGAGAACAAAGGCATGAGTGAGTTTGTGATGCTCCTCAGGTAATTTCAATGTGCAGGTAAGTTTTGGAAATAATGCTACACAGGGTCACTATGAGGTCTACACAGAAAATAAACTCAGAAATGAAGAAATGGGAGCTCCTCCACACAAAGACAGGCTTGTATAATTGCCACTAAAGAAGTAATGGGGATAATCATCCTGAGGAAGAAGATAATGGGAAGGGCTGTGTAAAAAATTACACCAGAACTTTTATAACTAGACTAAAATCGTGAATTTTTAATACATTTACAGATACAGTATACTCTGTGTCTAAGATGGCAACAAGAGCATTGGGATAGAAAAGGCAGTGGAAACCTACAACTTATCAAACTTCAAGTAGTTACCAAACTTCTTAAAAAGCTCCTGGCTAGCCTTCAGGATACTATTCAAGTGCACTCCTTTATAAATCTTCTCCCACTGAGTTCACTCTGCATACTGCATAATACAGCACTTACTACTAGTATGGTGTTTATGTGGTAGTTGATCTTCCTCACTAGAAAGAGAGCTCTTTCACGGCAGGAAAACCTACCTAAATACAAAAATTAGCCCAAGGGGGGGAAAAATAGCCCATGAGCCTAGCACATGTTTTGACATAGTAGCTGAATATTTGTTGGAATGAACCACAATGATTTACAAACATGGCCAACTCAAGAAAGAAGAAAAAAGGTTTTGTTCCAAAAATCTCAGAATATACTTAGTGGCCACTCTAGCTCAAAGAAGCCTGGCAAGTAAGACCTGCAATTTTGCTCTAAAAGGCACATCCTGAGGAGCAAAGCTTTGGGTTCTTAATAACTCCAGTGAATAAATGGCACACCCACAGGCTATTATTAAGAAGACTGAATGATGTATTACTCACATTGAGATCAAGAAAAAAAATCATCATCCAGGGGAAAAAGATTAATTAATATCAATTAATTTTCTTTTACGGGAGCAAATTATGCACAAGTCTTTAGGCTTCTAGGGAGAATGTGAGCATTTTTTACAGTACACAGGAATTTGCATATACTCTGGGAGCAAAAAAATGGGTCCCCATATTGGTTACCTGGGGTATATTCAAAATGAAGAACAAAGGACAATGGCATTTCTGTTCCTATAGAGTTATGGGGGCCTGAATGAAAGGCAGGCTTTAGAGGGAATAGAGAAAGCTTATGGATTCAAGAGAAACTAAATTATAATTACAATAGAGCTAGGTGGTTATACAATATGCAATACTATTAAGTACACTCTCTGGTAGAGTGTTCTTTGAAAAACAAAATGCAGGAGAGATCATAAAGCAAGTTAAAGAAAGCTATTAGGTAAAGTCCATCAGAGGAAGATCTCCCTTTCCTTAGTCTCTACCTTCAAGTACAAAATAATGACGTTTGATTTCTAGCACAGAAACAGAATATAAGAGACTCACTATACAGTAAACTTGGGCACATCATTTCTTTGGTCTTTGCTTCTCATTTTTAAAATAAAGGCTTAGACCAAGATAGTGTTTCCCAAGTTTGTTCTGGAAGATTTAACAGATATTACCTGAGGAAAATGTTCCATGTTTAAATAGATTTGGGAAAGGGTAGGAGAATCTAAAGACACAGGTTTCTTCATTTCAGCATTTGGCTAGAAGTTAACTATATTAATGTTGATTTCCAAGAAAAGAATATAATTTGCAGAATTTGCCAACCTCCAAATTCTTTTGGGACAAACCATATCAAGTGACTAGTGTTATGCTGAACACACATTAGAGAATTCTGGATTATACAGATCTTGCAAGTCCCTTTCAGTGTTTACAGTATATAGATTATAAACTATAGTCATTTGCAAACACCACTAAATTACACACCAATAGCCAATTGACTAAGTTAATAATTAGCACTTGGGCAGAAAGTAGATGCAAAATCTTCAATTTCAAACCAATACAATCAGTAACTGGCATTCTTCTCTGCATATATATTTGTAAACTTCCTTATTTTAATCATTCCAAACTCGAATCAGTGGGCTAGATTCACTCTGTATTTCATCATTAATATTAATTTTATTTACTGAATATGTCCATCACATTCTAGCCTCTAGGAATGTTTATAAATAGGCCAGGAGGAAAAAAAAAAGAGACTGTTGATAACAATAAAAACCCACAGCCAATATTGTTAAAAGACACCCCCCCACACACACATACACACCCTGTATGACATCCTGGTATCCAAATTGTATACTCTAGCAGGACTCTATGCACACTATGCTCTGTGATTTCTCTTCCTACCTGCTGAAGCACTTCTACCACCTAAAGTCCTAGTATATAAACCCTAAACATGGCCCATTCATGGAAAGGATGAAACCTTTTGAATAGGAAGGAGGGTCAAATCCATCATACTGATCCTTTGGACTCAAGTCCAAAGTCTCTTTCATAACACAGTGCAAAAAGAACCTAACTCTGGCTGGAGAAATGTAAAAAGTAAAGTAGCCATTGAATAACAATCTCAGACCAGGTGGTCTGAGACTACAGGATTTAATCCTGTAGTAAACCACCATAAACCAGAGGCCTCTCTCAAGGCAGCACACTTGTTATAAGAATTTTTTTTCCATCTTCTTTTCATCCCCACAAGGTAATTCCAATTATTCGCTATTTTGGATTGATAAAATTGAGACCCCAAAAAGTTGAATTCCCCAAATCCCACCACTATTAAGTGGCAGGACCCAGACTTGCACAGGGGTCTGTCCAAGGACAAAGCTCAAGCTCTTCACCAGAACTACCTAATCTGGGGCCAGGAAACCTGGACCTAAGAAGGCTAAGCCATTTGCACATTTATAAGTGACAGGAACCAAAATCATGAAACTACCACAATGTACTGTCCAGAATTGTATGGGCCATTTCCTCTCAACAAATGTCCCCTCAGGAAATTCCAGGGACATATGAGCATTTCCCTTAGTACTTTTTCCTTTGCAGAAGTGCTCATCTTTTGCATTTGAATTTCTGCTGAAAAAATATACTCTGTGCATCAATGTCCCACCTCTGACACTTTTTCTCCCTGTCTCAAGATCTATAATGGGTACAGGAAGGAGAATCTCAAATACTGTAAAAGTTTGCTTGCAAGACTTGTGTCCCTCCCAGCAACCTGCTCTGAGGACTTTTGCTCCTTGGACCTAAAGTTTTCTGCTTTTCCTGAGCCTAGTACTGACCTGCAGGATCCAGAGAAGCTCAAGCAAGCAGGAGAAGACTCAAAAGGCGCTCTGTTTGCTGCTGCTACTCCCGGAAATAAAGCAAAGGGCAGCTGCCTCAATTAAAGTCCACGTGGGGAAGGGAAAGGCGAGGAAGAACACTCATCACTAGGATTCTGACCTTTCTCACTCCAGAGAGAGAAGCAAAGGCTCTCCTGTTGCTGATAATTCACTGCTTGTTCATTTGTTTTGTGAGCTTTTGACTGTTGTGTTCTGCCTCCCAACTGAAAATTGACCACAGCAGTTGGGCAAGTCAGGAAAAGCTAGGAGTCTGGGAGCTGTCCAAGACATTCCCAGCCCCCTCCTGTTATTCTGACCTTTGCTTTCACACTTTCTCCTCTCTCCCTCCCTTCTACACAGAAATAAGAGAAGGGACTTCAGCAAAGCAACATAAGCCTGTGACTTACAAATGGTTAGGTGCATCCCTCCATCTCCTTCCCCCTCTTGTCTTTCACTCCAGCTCTTCCACTGATTTTGAGCCCAGCTCAGAAAAGCAGCAACTGTGGCTGAATCCACCTAAATGAGTATCACCTGTGTACCATCTGGTAATGAGCTACAGCTGAGCCAGCCATTAGCCACAGGTGAAAAGCATGCATTGTGGAGCTCCTGTCCATTCTAGATTCTCCCCGTGGCCCCTTAAGAAGCATAAGCTGGGAATGACGGCAACTTCTTGATTGGGAAGAGCCCATCCTTGAACAACAATTTCTATGTTGACTATGCCCTGTCCAGTTTATTTCTGTGGAAACAGAGGGCTTACTTAAGTGTGACCCTCCCCGACCTCCGCCCCATTCTGGAGTTAAAAACAAAGCTCCAGGGGATGGGGCTGAGACTCAGTGGTAGAGCACTTGCCTTGCACATGTAAGGCACTGGGTTCGATCCTCAGCACCACATAAAAACAAATGAAGATATTGTGTGCTCCTACAACTAAAATAATATTTTTTAAAAGGTTAAAAAATAAATAAAAAAATTTCCATCAGTTGGCCCACAGAGTGCTTCTTGCTTATCTCCCGTTCCTTCCACCTGCCAGGGTAAGAAAATTCAGTGTGGACATTGCAAGCCTTGCCACACCTCCATCTTCCTTCCAGACAGCATTGGTTGCTACCTGTCTAGTGGTCTGTGATGGCCCTTTTCACACAGTGTTCCCCTTATTTAATGTGCTTCTTTGACCAGGTGATTGTGAGCTTCTTGAGGTTGCCTACATTGCTTTTCTCCATCTTATCTTGATAGCTCCAACAGTAGAGATGACGGAGAAAAGCATTTGAAATAATAAAGAACAAAACACATGGCTAAAGGACAAATTTTTAAAATGTTAATTTACAGAGCTTACCATCTTCTAGGTAAGACAAGATAGTCAGGGAAACATGAGACAAGGCAGTAAGTAATGAGGTTCAGAATAAGAGGTGAAGGAGCAAGGGTTCTCAGGACTTACCTAAGAAAGAAGACAGCAGGTAGTCAGGAACACGCCTCTGAGTCTGATGGGTGCAAGTGCTGAGACAGTGATGAGAAAAGTGTGTTAGGGGAAATAATACTTATGTCCAAAATGTCCTAAAATAGGAAAATCAGAAATGTGGGTTGAGGTCTTGATGCCAGAGACTTCTATTACCAAACAAAAGACAAACGTTTTTTCCCCTATAGACATTAGAGAAAGGTACACAAAGAAAATTCACCTGGTGAGACAGTCTAGGGAGACTGCTGTGGTCAGCAACCCATGGCATGGAGACACATCAAAGACTGTAGAAACAGATTTACTTAGTGGTAGATGCAACTCTCAATAGTCAAACATGTAAAACTATGAAAGAAAGGAGAAGACCACAGCATAAAAGAAACTAACCTTTATAGGAAGCAATAGACACAGAATTCACAAATGGGATATTACAGAAGTAAATTCTAAGTCTTAGAAAAATGCAAAAACATACAGCACTTTTAAGTTGAGAAAAAGTTGTTCATCCAGCAGAAAACAGAATCCATTTCCAATGAATGTTACAGTTTGGATCTGGAATGTCTCCTAAAGCCTTGGTCCCCAATACAGCACTTTCTAGAAATGGGGCTTTTAGAAAATGATTGGATCATGGAGGCTCTGACCTAATCAGTGGATGAATCCACTTGATGGTTTAATAATTTGAATGGACCCCTTGGAGTTGGTAGAACTGTAGGCAGGTGGGCAGGGTTAGAGGAAGTAAGTCACTGGGGTATGCCCTGAGGACTGTATCTTTCCCTGGCCCCTTCCTCTCTCTCTATCCTGACTACCATACCTTCCACCATGAAGTTCCAAAAGTAATGGAGAAGGCCAAGTGTGGACTGGAATTGTAAAACCAGGAGCTAAAGTGGGAATTTTGCCTCCTTTAAGTTGTTCCTGTTGGGTATTTTGGTCACAGTAATGTAAAGCTGAATAACCCAATAGTACACATGAATGGTTTGAGTGAAGGTACAGGCAATGTCAAAGGCACAGTGAGAGATGGAGGGGCACCAAAGCAAAGGGCCATGAAAACTGCAAAATCAGTGTAATACTCAAGTCAGTCACTGGAAGTTAAGAGTATGATTGGCAAAATTAAAAATATATATATAAGAAGTGAATGGCCAGGTACAGAAAATTTCCTAGGGCAAAAAGATAGGGAGATGGAAAATATGAGAGAAACATCAGGCAGCAATGAAGAGGGGTCCCAGAGAGAGCTCTGTGATTGCTAAACGCCCAGGGTCTGGTGTCTGGGAATGCTCTGGGGAAAAACACAAGCCAAAGGAAGAAATGAAACCTGATAATTCTTTAGGATTCAATAACATGTAATGATAAAACAGTTCCTTCCCCCCCGCCCGAATCCTTGGAGCATAAAGAAATCTGGGACAATCTGTTCCCTTCCTACATCAGAAAAGCCGATTTTAGTTTCAAAAGGTCTATAGTGAAACACAATTCCATGACGTTAATCAATTTATTTCAATTGAGAGCGAAGCATAAATGAAAGGTCCCTATTTTGGAAAAGGCCATGAAAATGTGAAGATGTTATTATTTCCAAGCTGAGAGGAGAAGTGAGATTCTCTGCCTGGCACATTTCAGAAAGCTTCAATCAGCCAGGGCAGAGGAATAGATTTAAAATAGAAAAGTAATGGGAAAAGGGCTTGCAACGTAACAGAGATGGTGGCTGATGAAACCTATCCCTCTGGAGCCGGTTCTATGAATACACATTTTACCAGGCAGTTTGGAAAGTCTGAAAGTGTGTAGTCCTACTCATTTCCCACAGCCTCTTGGTCTAATTACATATCTGTACACACACACACACACACACACACAGACACACACACAGGTCTCATCCAGAGATATGGATAACAACATATTTAACTTGTAGATCCCTATCTGAAAATAAAGATCTAAATAAGGAAAAACATCTGTATGCTGGTTTTTTTAAAAATGTAGGAATATTGACATATATAACATCTTATTCATTGAGTCATTCACTTATTAAACAAGTATATATTGGGCATTATCCTGTCACCAGGACAGAGTTTGGCACGAAATGGTTCAGTTCCCACCAAATGAACATGGAGAGAATTCAGGGAGCAAGCTCTCAGAGGGTAAATTTAAGAAATGCATTTTAGTAGCAATTTGAGAAACCAAGTATACATATTTCCCAAATCTCTAAAAGCTACCCATATTCCTCTCCCCTTAACTCATAAAAAAAACAAACAAGTTAAAGCCTATGACTGCTCCATAATTATCTAAATTATGGATGTTTAGGTGGAAGTGCAGAAATATTTTAATAGAGGTACACTAAGATAATAAAACTCTTAATGAAAATGTAGCCAATGTTGCATTGAATCTGATGGCAGAGCCTGCTTTCAAATTACCTAAAAACTTGAAAATGTAAAAAAAAATATAGCATTCACTTTTCTCATTAAAAAGTTATAAGATATGTAAATTTGGTTAGAAAACTTTGTTATTTATTTCAATTAAATAGGCATATGTCATTATCCAGCTACCTCAGGACATTTATAAAAACAAGATGTCATCTTAATGACATTAGCTTTAGAGTGACATTGGAATCATTAGCCACTATGAAAACAAACTTCAATTTTCCTACTTTCCCCTAATAATATATAATGTATTCAATTGCTCTAATAATTCCAGTTGACTCCAGTTTCATAGTAAGCTCTTCAAAAAAGGTTACAGGTATACTTTAAGTTCGCAAAGTCCTAAGACTGAGCATATCTAACTTACTCTGGATGGCTCCAGCTCAACTTCATGCACTAGGGGGTAAGATGGTGAAAAGTGACCAACCTGTCTTCCAAACCTATTTTTGAACCCCAGCCTAGGAAACAGACATTTAAATACACAGAAAGGAATAAAGAACTGTAGTGATTTTAAAGTATCCAATTGCTAAATATTTCTATTACCTGTCCTTTGTAATTCAGGCTATAGTTTAATATGGATAAAAGATTTTATTCTTAAACATTACCTGCATGTTTTCTTTTGCTGGAAATTAACCAATTTGGTTTATATCATATGGGAAATACATTTTTTTCATGAAAAGGATAGTTTAAGAACAATTTAAGAGAAAACAAGTTCAAAAGTTAATATAAAATAAAATAGCCATGTGATTGATCTTTATATCAATATTCTAAAACTAATGAAGAGAGTCATGAGAAATTTATGTACATGTGCCTATATTTATAAAGACACATTTCAAAATTTCATGTTTTACTATTAGAAAGAGCTAATTCCTAATGGCTTCTTTTAATAACATCTTTTTGGACCTGAAGTAAATTACAGATGAAGAAATTAAATACTCCTCAAAAGGAGGTGGTCTTATAATTTGACCTTCTCTATTATTTCAAGAGATGGTATCACAGATCTTTGTTTCTGGTTTTGATACATCTGCAATTATCCTTTCACCTATCACTTGCAATAGAGGGTTGAGCACACTTATACAGAAACATGCCCTGACTGTAAAAATGATGTGTATATTGACTAAGTTAATGCACTGAGGAGAAAATTATTCTCTCCTAGATATGTCAAAGCCAGTGCTTATAGTTAGTTTAAAGTAATACTATATACCCATATTCATACACACATACATTATACATACCTGTATTTGCATATGTATACACACATATGCATGCATAAATACATATACATACGTTTATACACATACATATATATCCATACACACACACCCCACATACAGACATGCATATAAAATTGATAGAGTCTGTTAAATAAACTATCATTACAGCTTGGGAAAATTTGAAATATGGAAATTGAGACTCTCTTATTTGAAAAGGGAAATCTTGGCACATTCTCCTGAGTGGAGAAAGAGGCCTCTTGATGTCAGCCAGCCACTTCAGAGGAACATTAACATCCTGAGATTTCTAGCAAATTAACAGCCCAGGTAACAAAATACAAGAAACTCTGGCCAGTAGCTTACTCACTCAGTTGGATCTGGCCACTACTCCATGTATCCCAACTACACTAAATGGAGCATGAGTCATTTGAGTAATGAGTCAGAAAATGTCTAGCAGCCTCGGTGCAACAGCAAGCGTGATGCTTAAGATAAATTTCAGAGGTATTAGGATGATGTTTTCATCTATGCTCCAGGAAGACCACATCTCCATATCCCTCTCACTCTTCCTCTCCCTCCCTCTCTCTCTCTCTGATGAACAAAATTTTCTCCCTCTTCCCAAAAGGCGGAAGCTGGGTTCTATGCCACCTCCAGGCTCTTTCCAGATCTAAAATTTAAAATGTCAGGCAAAAATCACTGAAAGAGGCAAAAACCAGTATTTTTATAATTTGTGTTCTATCCAAAGTGAGTTTTGTGAAATGCTGCCTACTGGAGTCAGTGGCCCCCTTAACAGCAGCTTCGTCTTCAAGTACTATATGAGCCTTTGTTATAAAAAAATTTCTTAATTAAAAAAAAATTCAAGAATTGAATTTTTGGAGTTTAATAAAATGAATGAATAATCTCCTTTTTCCAATAAAGAAATATATTTGATAATTTTTAAATCACAATGCCTCCAATATTATGATAAAGATTACTACAGAGCTTTGGCTTCTAATCACAGTAACATTTTTATCTGGTTTTAACCTATTTATTTTCAACTTCCATCTTAATATTGAATCCTATTTTTTTCTCTCTCTTAGTGTGTTTCATCTTCTCACCTTCCTGTTGTAGCACAAAGCCAACTATACAATAGCTGGTTCTATTGAATAATATTACACAGTGTAGAACAGTGTAGAATAATGTATAATATATTACTGGATTGAGATGAAGAGCCCTGAGTTCGAGTTTATTTTGGCAACACTGCCTTTCTTGCTAAGGAAGCCAGGACTTCCCTGCAACAAGTTTCTTCTGCTAGAGGTTTCATCTCTCCTGACAATCCCCATCAACCAGTCGAGGCTGTTCAGGAAGGGCATTGGTGGGACAGAGTGCCTGACTGATGAATGATGCCCACCAAGGGTGCATGGCAGGGGAGTGGTGACAATTTTGCTCTGTGTTTGCCAC